TACTTTTACAATTTCTACAATTTTAAAGAATCATATTAAATATTACTATATAATATAAATTTCTAATCATATTTTGTTTAAAAGCATTTGATATACATTTACTTACATACAGTATTTATCATTTAAAGGCTAGTATTAAAAAAAATGCTATGTAAATTCATTGTTATAAATCACTTACATATAAAGCTCTCATTCTATGTTTAATATGGTGCGGGGTATCTTCTAAATATATTATCAATAAAGCTAAAAAATGCGTTCTTTGGGTAATCTATTCATTGTTTGCTTTTGTGGGAATAATAAGAGTGTTTACATAGCTAATGAGGATTTTCAGATTTGGATTAAGAAGATAATGATCCAGAATATGGTGTTCAACTAGTGCATTTTCCAACGACACCAAAATCTGCCAAAGCAAACATCTCGCCAAACTTACCCTTTGTTGATACCAATGTAACCAAAGAATTATAACACCTTCTACATAATAATATTATTAAATGTTTTGCAATAATAATAAAATTTCTTGTATAATTAATTTTTTTCAAAAGAAAATGTCTAATCATTATAAAATAATTTGAAGTTTCGGCAACAAATTATAGTTTCGGCACAGTGATTAAGTTTCGGCAAAGTAACTGAATTTCGAACTATTAGTTTCTATAACCTTTTTTTCCTGAGTTTCTATAACTCTCACGTTTTGTCACCTTGTTAAAAAAAAACACGTCAACAAAAAAATCTGTACAACACCAAGTGTCGATAATAATAATACATAAGTAAAGGCATGATTTTGTATTTTATAGTTAGTTAAAATAAGCAATTGGCTTAAATTAGCATGGGAAAAAATTCCATGATAGAACCTTAAGAACTAGTTATTCAGTCTTAAATGAAGTTGGTAAGGAATGTGGTGCTGTTTTTACTCGCGATGGCTCAAATAAATAGCAATTTCATCCTTCAAATAAAAACTAAATAAATAAACCTTTTATTCTAAATTCTTACAACAAATGTTTCAAATATTTTAAACAAATCTGGATGGAAAAACCATTAATATTAATATTAACAGATTGAATATTCTTAAAGGGCCCGTAACGTTAACACATCAACATAACACCATCATAGATTCATTGAAACAAGGTTTGACTGTATCGTTTTGACTTAATTGATATGTTAATTATCATTTTATTATTCATAATAATAACAAATCATCTTGACTATCCAAGATTTCGACTGTTACTATTATCCAAAATTATTAAGATTTTATCAAAAAGTTGAGACTATTCTCAACCATTTCGACCACCCAAAAAAAGTCGAAATGGACTTTGTGTATAGTTATGTTTACATACTACGGAAATTGAAGCTCTAATGTGTCCTAAAATTTTAAAAAATCCTAATCCGATACATGATATCATGTGGTTATGGTGCAAGTCACCTAGTCCCACAACTTTCTGTGCCACACCGCCAATTTTGTGCAATACGAGTCACTCCCGTTATAATGACACTCCATGTGCAAGCAAAAAATGTCAGTATAACGAGATTGTCATTATAATGGGAGTTCATATAAAAGTCATGTGAGAATCATTATCATATAAGTTTTTATTTTATTAATTATTTTTGGACATAAAAATCTAAATTAATTTCTATCAAGTTCTACAAAACAAACAAGTGAAGAAAATAATAATTAAAGTAGTAATTTGGAAATAAGCGAAAATTCAGATAGTGATTCAGACGAGATTCTACTCTAGGCCTAGAAAACTTTTTCAATTCAAATCAACCAGTAGTGAATCAACAAGCAAATCCGGTCCTGATGGATCTAGCAGATTTACAAAACCTTAAGAATGCACTTCAACAGTGGTGGCTGCAATAGTACAATCACAACCAGCTGCACCAGAATTTAACAATGTAAAATATCCAGATCATTTCGGAGGAGATCAAGTTGTCACTAATTATTATTTAGGAGAGCGTATTAATTAGTAATGTTAGCCGTTTAAAAATCCTTAGCCGGCTAAGCCGTTTACTACCTAATTTGGTAATTTTATTTCTATAACAAGAAAGCAACGCAGAAATCTATCACCAAATTTAGGAATTATGCATGCAGATTATTAGCCGGCTAACATCACTAGTATTAATTGATGATAACAAATATAAATTTCTCTTTCATTCATCTTAATCTGGAAAATTCATGTGACAAAAGATTGAAACTATTTTTGATGATTTTTTGTGTAACACGTCAATTTTAGGGCTAAACATAATAAATTCGGTAAATGAAATCGTAACTTTGTGGAAGAAGTCCTTGGCTTTAAAAACACGACTTATTGGAGGATTTGAAGTATCTACACGACCAATAAAAAGTTGCGGACGGGACTAAGTGACTTGCACTATACAATGTTCCAATGTTTTCTTTCCCTTTACTAAATTCAGTGTTCGAAAATTGTACAACCGGGATCATCAAACTGTTTTTGCAAAATAAAATCGTGTAACAAAGTTTTATTTTGTGGATCGATCACTTTTACCCTTAAATGATTGACATTAATGTAATATTGTATGTAATATTTAATCTGGTCCCAAAATAAAAATTGACAGTTTTACTCATTTGTAATTAAAAAAAAAAAAAACATGGTAAGCTTTAACCTATTAAAAAAAATATATATTTCTATATGAAATTAAATATATTGATTATTTAAAACAGGAAAAGTTATTTGACATTATGATTGAGTGTTTCCCCGAAGACAAAGAGTAAGTTGTTATATCTTGATTTATTTTGTTCTTTATTACCTTTATTATATATCTGGGATTTAATTTTTCTAAAATATGTACGTGTATATATATATATATATGTATTTATATATAAACAAATGATGCTTTCAAAAAATTTAGTTATGATAAATTATATCGAGAAACTTATGCCAGTAAGCCTGATATCCAACTTCATAATATGGAAAAAAGACATCAAATGCAACTGAGAAAGATGAGTAAATTACACGCAAGAGAAATTGACGAATTTTATGCAGAGTATAGTAGTAAAAGGCTTTGTCCTGATAATTCAATCCTCGAGAAAGGTTATGCAGAATTTTCTGAACGTGTAAAATTAATTAATAATAGCGTAAGCTCAAGGTCGAGATCAATTATAGTTATTGATGATAATGATGTAAAAGAAGAAGAATATTATCCTAATATTACTAATACCAATAATTCTACTAGAAGTGATACCACCATGCATGATAAAATACTTGATAGCAATGACGATAATATTTTTTTTATAGATGAAGCATATGTAAGTTGATATTATTTTTTTTTTTAGCTAATCATTTAATCCTAACAAATCTCACACAGGTTTTTTTTTTTGGATTTATTAGAGAGCGATTCAAAATGAATATTCTAATATGAGAAAAGCACAATTTTTTTTATTTGATACATTAAGTTATTCCCACACAAATGAAAAAAATATCATTTTAAAAAGATCAAACAAAATAGATCCAAAATCTAAACACATTCCTAACATGCAAGAAAACTCAAACGCTTTGCCACAGCAAGTTAATTTGAATACAACAATTATTTCTAATGTCACTAAACTAATGGATAAAACGGTATATGGTAGTACACCATCTAATGCTAGCAATAAAAGATTTGATATTGATGCGTCAAATGGCCAGTTTCAACCCTATGGTAAATCTAATTACAAGACAAATAGGGCGATATCTGATGTTACTGGCAATAATATCAACAATAACAGTAACAGCAACAACAAAGACAAAAACAACACATCACCTATGGATAGCGTATTATATACTAGTAACAATTATCATGAACCCAATAATTGTAGGATAGTAAATGATAATAGTGTCTCTCTTCAATTGCCAACAAATGGTGCATTATCTGTCAACGATCCAGTTCCTTTAAAACAACAAATGTTGGCTTCGGTAATAGTAGATTATCTAGATACTTCAAACAATTCGTCGCCATCTATGTCAAATGATTTATTGCAAAGGATCAATAGCTCCATTGATATCAATAACTCCAATAGCATCAATAGATTCAGTAATATCACTCTTCCGATGACATGGGCTCAATTAATTCCTTTGATGAATCGGGTAGATACTTCTGGTCTTGAAACTTATTATCATGAGTCAAAAGATCCAAGAATTTGTGATAAAGATAATCAAAATATAAATAATTAAAAAATTTTCAATATTCATAGTATATATTTTTTTATAAATATCATATTATAGGGTAGGTTTATATGCATACATCTTATATCATTTTTTTTCTTTTTTCCCTACCCTAATAAAAATAAATCAGCTTGATTCTCAACACTAATCCTCACAAACCAATGAACTTGGTTTTTTCTTTTGTAATAAAATGACATCAAAAATTTGGGTCTTTTTTTTTTTTAATCTTTGATTCCGTGTAACAATATTCAATATAATTTTTTTGAAATTGTCGCGCATGTAAAAAAAACAAACCAATTTTAAATCTCAATTTTTTAATTCAAAAATTAGAAACATGATTCACAATCAAATTTGGATTATTTTCAAGATTATCGATAATCTTCAAAAATCTATCCTTTTTAATCCTCCCTTAAATAAATTTAATATATATATATGTATTAACATTAATATTTCTTTTTTGATTCCCAATAAGTTGGGTGGCTCTTACACCTCTCCTTTTTAGTATAGGGTAGTCATATTTTTATCCAATCAAAATAAAGAACGGAGTTTTTAGTGTGCCCCGGAATGGTAAGAGTGTCGTTGTACGAAAAATCTAGCTGGCCAATCATGTTTTTCATCAACCAGTAATATAAATATTGGGATCATTTTTTTTCAACTTTTCTTTTTCAAAAAAAAAAAGGTATTTTCTCATATATATACTATTAGATATTTTTGTTCTTTATTATCGAATTTCATTACAATAATAATAATAATAATAGTATTAATGATTTATTATTTCAAATACAAATACATATACATATATATATATATATATTATATATAAAGAATCTCTCTTTGAGTACAGTCATGACCACTGTGACGTCTTCGCCAGTACGTTTTAAATTATTTTTTCTAATCCTATTATTATTATTATAAAAACTAAAAAATTATAAAAATTATTCATGTTATTCACATACAAATTTTGTTATTATCATTATCTAAAATTATTTATTTTCATAAATAACTTTTTACCAAAAAAAAATTTTTATATTTTTTCTCTCTTTTTACTTATTTATTACTTTGCTCAAATTAATTTTTTATTATTAAAAAAGAACGGTACCGGTAAATTGTGGTATTGCACAAACGAGCGTCTTCGTCGTGAGTTCTTCCACACAGGTGCCTCCATACCACCCATTCAACCACATCCCGAAGAAACTGAAAATTCACAAGGATCAATTAAAAAGTAATTAATTATTGTTCTTCAAAAAATAATAAAGCTATTTTTTAAATATTGTATACGTACACGCCCAACCACACACATAAATACACATCTATTGCTTATTCATTCCAAAAATATCATTATAATTTTATCTTAATGTCTAAATATATACTCTTGAACCTAATTTAAAATTATTTTTTTGTCTCTTGTTAATTATTATTAGTTTACGAAATAAAAAAAACCTTAAATCTAATGAAATGAAGCAGAAAAATAAAAAACAAAAGAGTAATAATAAAACTATTTTCGATAACAACAATTCCGAAATAATTGAAACTGAGGATGATCTTCTAAAAGATAATGCCGATAAAAATCTTGACGAAGGCGATGACGACGACGACGACGGTGATGATGACGACGATTCTACTCTCGTTGAACAATCGTTGATAGAACTGGATAAAGAAGAAGTTGTGGATGAAATTAATATTATTACTGCCAGTTCTAACACTATTATTAATTCTAGCGATAGTGTTATATCAACACAAAAAAAGTTACAAATTGATTTCCAAGATAGTCAAATTGATGATCAAATGAATGGTGTTGTAAATAGCAATGTGCAAAATGATATGGATGAGGAAAATGATACTGAAGTAAAGCAAGACGAAGAAGAAAAAAATCAAGAAATAAAGATTATAAATAAGCAAAAATTTGAATCTCGTAATAGATCTCATTTAAAAAATTTTGAAAAACTCAAAGCTGACAACGAAGATGAGGATGAAAAGGAGGAATTAGATAATGAGGAGGAGCAAGAAGGCGCGGAAGAAAAAGAATATGTAAATAAACCACAACCTAGATTTCGTAATAAATTATCTCAAACCAAAACAAGCGTAAAGTCTAAAACTGGCAAATATATACATGAAGAAGAAAGTGAAGAAGTGGTAGAGGAAGAAGAAAAGAATAAAAATCATGTGCGAAAAACTAATTTTCGCAATAGATCTCAATCCAAATCTCATTACGATTTTAACTCTAATGAAGAAGAACAAGATGAGGAAGCAGAGGAAATACAGGAGGAGTTAGAAGAAGAAGGTAATGTACATATTTATTCAGATTTCGTTGTGTCGAATTTACTAACATAAGCCATTCTCTAAAATAATAATAACAATAAACAGAATTACCTAAAATTACAAGAACCTTAAGAACAAAAAGAGTCATTATTCAACCTAGCAAACCTTCTAGAAAATCATTGCGTCATTCAAAAGAAACATTGAATAGTAATGAATCATTGGTACAAGATTTTAAAGGAAGAGATGTCGTTTTTGGTAATATTCTTTTTTATTCAAGTATATAAATGTTATTGTTTGAATTAATAGAATATACTCACTCACGCATTTATATATATATATACACAGTTGATCCTTTGGATAAAAATGCCGGCTTTTGGTGGCCTGCGATGGTAATTTTCTATATTATTTGAATTGTCAGATTATTTGAATTTTAAAACTTGTGATTCACTATTTTTTTTTTTTTTTAAACCTAGATTGTTCCAAATGACGAACTTGACGAGAGCATGGATTTTGATTGTGATATTGATCATTTGTTACTAGAAGGAAATTTTCTTGTAAAATATTTCGAGGATATGACATAGTATGTGCACAATTCATATATTCATATATTAATTTGATGTATTTTTTTTCTTAATTTATAATTTTAAAAAGTTCTGTAGTAGAGCATAAAGGATTAAAGCATTTCATGTTGGGCGATGAGCCTTACTTGACTTTTGTAAAAAAAAAAGGATTTCTTGATCATATTGGAGTTAAGAGAGCTCTCAAATGCATAAAAAATAATGGCGAGCCATCTAAAAGTTTTCAATGGGATTATTGGAAAAATCCACTTGGAAAAACGAAAGATAACAAACGGTCGGTAACTAACCGCAGAATTATTGCTACTACTACAAGTAATAGGGCGATAAGTAGGTCATTTGCAGCATCTAAACCAAATAATAAAAAATATAAAAATAAAGACAGCATACAAACCAAAAGGTTTTCCGATATCACGCCCCCATCATCAATTCGACAAATTAAAAACAAATCAAATTGTAATAACAATGATCACAATCGTCACTCATCCAAATCAGCTAATACGCACCAACTTAACAGTAACAACAAAGAATCATCACGCACTTCAAATAATAAAGGCAAAAATGCTTACTCAAAATCATCGTCATCGTCATCGTCATCATCGTCATCGTCGTCATCATCAACAACTTTCTCATATTCTGTAAATACTACCAATGAATTGAATAATATTAAAAAGTTTAATTGTAATTCTGATGATGATGACGATGTTGATGTTGACGGTGATGACGACAATACTTCAGTTTCGACGATGGACATACATAATCATAAAAAAGAATCTTATAATCGTAAATCTATGAAACGAAATCATAGTAGCATTTCACTTAAATCTGAATTTGAAAATGTTACCAAGATTACTACTCATCATAATTCCGCCTATTCCATCGCGCCAAAATCTCGTAAGCTGCGACACACTTCAGAAATTGATTTGATGGATGAAGATTCCAAAACTGAAACGTATTCAGATGTTACAATTGAAGGTATATATATATATATGCATCATTGATGGATTATACAAGACAAACAATAATTATTATAATTTTATTATTATTATTTTTTCATGATAATTTAGAATTGTTTGAAGAAGAACATAATAATTATTCAACGGATGCATTTAAAATAGAAATTCCACTAATTCCACAAATATCAATCGAAAATTTGAGTGAAGAAGCGCGAACGAATCTTTCCAGATTCAATTTTAAAGACCCTGATCTTGATAAAAAAGCCAAAGAGAAGCTTTATGAGGAAGCAGAGGAAAAATTAAGGTCATTATGTAAAGAGTATCGTACAGCTATGAAGGATTTAAAAAAAATGGAAAAGGATTTATTCAGTAAAAAAAATCTAAAAGCACACAACAACAATAATAATGATGATGATGACGACGAAGACGAGAATGAAGGAGATTCTGGAGATGATGACGAAGAGAGTTACGCTAATGAAGGAGTTGGAATTTTTTAAGTATATATACATGTTTGATTTAGAAAAATTTGTAAAAAAGTGAGAAAAGGAAAAGTGGGTTTTACTATTTTTTATTTATGATAAATAATAATACTTTAATTCTTTTTTTTTTTTTGAATCAAAAAAACATTTGAATGAAAATTTTTTCTGATGTTGTAGTAGATTTTAATTATTATTATGAAATTGTTTGAAATAGAAATAAAAATAAAGGAGATTAACAATTTTTGATTTTTGAGCGGTAGCACAAATATTAATATGATTAAAGCTCCGATGGATTGATTTGATTCGGGTTAGTTAAAATTCACTTCGAATTTGATTTTTTAAAATCAATTATTTTTTGCATTGACACTTGGACACTTTATCTGGAATTAGTAATTAGTATGTGTTTTTTGTGAAATCTATGCAAAACAAAGTTGCGCTCAAGCTTTATTTATTAAAAGTTTCTTCGTTATAAACACCAATAACTGAATTATCTGGATTAAGCCACGTTAAAACCATCGTCTAACCCTTGCATGAACCAAATCCATCATTTAAATTGATTGTGGATATTCAAACCATGACTATTATTGCTTAATAGACATTAGTTTTTTTGTTGGAATTAGGGAATTATTGCACTTTTGATTGATTGTTTTATCACAATTAATTGAAAAAAGATTTGACCATTTCTTAAAATATAATAATAATCTTTATTACTGAAACAAATTCTAATTTTAAACAAATCTCTTGACCTACTTTTTTTAAATAATAATGATAATTAAAAGTTCACATTGCATTCACACATTCATAAACTTGTTTTAATATTCAAATAATACCCAACTTTCATTATCTGAAATAAGCCTGATTTTAGGTGATCTCAATCTATTTAAAATTTCCCAAAATATATGGCTTGCCTCGTTTGCCTTATCTTTCCTCAAATTTTCAAATAACTGTAGAAATCTTTTAGTTACCTGAAATTTTTTGAGAGAAAATTCGGATTAATATAAAGAATTTAATTTTAAGTTTTCTAGAAAAAAAAAAATGCAAAAATAATTTTCTACCTTTTCATTTAATGTGTTAAACCCATTATCATCCATATCAACTGATTGTTGAATTTCTTTGATAATTAAATTTGGAAGTTGTTTCACAATAACAGGATTATTGAAAATTCTCATAAAATTTTCATCAAATATCTGACAATCAATAAAACACGAATTGATCATAGCATTAGCAAGGGTAGTAGCACCACCATTATTACCATCAATAATATTATCAATGTTAACATCATCTTCACACCAACTTAAATTAATTAAACCATTCATCACCACATTAATGCCATAATACCATATTTTGTTGATTGATGATGATTCTTGATTAGGAGAATTGGTTACTATAATCAAAACATCCATCAAGTTGACAAGCCATTCTAATTTTGATCTCATGATTTTTTTTTTGTTTGATTTTTTAGCATTATTGAATATGTCAAAATGGATGGTAAAAAGAATCCACGAAAATATTAAAATATTTTTGTTATTAGATGAGCGTGACTCCATCATTTCCATCATATCATTTCCATCATAATCATCATCTTTTTCTTGATTTTGTTTTGCTATCATTACTAAACTTTCTTGTAATAAATTTATAAGATATTTTGAATCTATACGATTCAATTGGACCATTGTACAAATTGTTACAACATATTTCTTGAATCCTTCCTCATTTTCATACAACTGATCACCTTTTATAATATCATCATTAGAAAACATACAAGTTTTTGTAAACAGTTGTATTATGTAAACATCTTGTTCTTTCAAATCTGATATTTTAAAATTGTAAAAATGTTTTTTTAATCGTTTAATTAATTCTTGTTGGGTTATGGTCAAATAATCTTCAGTGTTGGATGTTTTGTCATTTGATGGAATATAATAATTTATTGTTCTTAGAAATTTTATCTGTAATCCCTACAATACATAATAAATAGAAAGATTAGATATACAATAATTCATAAAAAATAAATAATTTGCAAAATATTATTTGATTCAAAAACCTTAATAATTTTTAAATATTTATTTTCCACTTTTTCAAATAATTTTTCAAATAAAACATCAAAGATTTCTAAAAGACGAGAATCATGAATTGTTGATTTTTTTAAAATGTCATTGATTCCTCGCCTTTGCTTAATAGCAACTGAAGATGATGAAGATGTTGTTGTTGTTGTTGGCCTTTTGATTTTTTGATTTTTTGTAATTATGTCATTTTCATTTTTTTCAAATCCATAAAGTTGTAAAATTTTAGCAATTCCATCATTAACAAGTATTTCTTCAAATCCCAAGTCACCACTATTAAAATCATCACCATCATCAGATATAACTTGAATATCAGGGAATTTCATTAATACATACATAAGGTATTCTGTTAAAGATGCTGACCAATCACAATATTTTATTGCAAACTTAATACTTTCAACATGCAATTTAAATTGTTTAAAGTTTGGTTTATTAAATTCTACAAGTAAGGGGAACCAATTTACTGGTGGAAAAACTTGATTGACATTCATAAGTGTTGAAAAAAACAATTGTGCTGATTCTATTGATATAGTAGATTCTGGAGAATTCATATATACATAACGACTTTTACTTGAAAAAATATCTGTTACATCTGTTAATGCTACAAACAAAAATTTCAAATAGCTTGAATTAGGTAGTCTAGAATAGTTTTTAGGTTCTGTGTCAGCAATATTTTTTGATACTGATTTTATTAGAACATCATTACTTTCAACTAAAAGTTTATCAACACTTTGTGTCATCTTGCCCAAAATAATAGCTGCCAGCCTTGCACCTTTCACATCTTTAATCATTATTTCTGCTGCTCCAGCAAAAACAGTACTAGATGGTGATGATGATGGTATACCTGCTATATTTTTTAATGTATCCAATACTTGATTGATCACTGTAAATGGTCTAGATTTAAACAAATATGAATTGGCCTTTTCATAAAAAAAATTGTGTGGATATATCACCCCTGATAAAGAACCTAAAGCCAAAATTGCATTCTGACGTTTTTTAGAATTAGATCCTGGCGATGAAAGAACTTCTATTTGAGAGCTCAATTGGGCATTAAATTTCTGTAAATTAGGTAATATTGCTCTTATTGGTATGATTAATAGAACAGTTTGTAATACATAACAATAAGTTTGAGTAAAATGAATATCATATCCGGTCCATTCTCCCTACAATAAATAATAATAATATAAATATTCATATATGTGTGTGTGTGTGTGTATGTGTGTATGTAATTAAAATTATACCTTTGATGTGGTAACACTTGTTAATTTTTCAAAAAGTTCAATAATACCTTCATCATATTTTTCAAATTTTGAAAATGCAACAAACCAAGCTGAACCTAAAATCCGCCGCTTATGATCATTTTTAACTTTTCCATTTAACTCAACAAACTTTTTTAAATCAGATAATGCTTTTTGATAAATTGTCTTGACTTCTTTAACTTCTTCATGATTAACCCCTGATAATCCAAGCATAAAACCTAAATATGAATCAATTAATAATGCTGGCGATTCTGTTTCTGGGTTATTATTTGATTGAAAAAAATATTCTTCAAGGAATTGAATTGTTTGTGAACAATTATTTTCCATTTCAGGAGTTCTAGTGGGAAATGATGCCTGTTGAAATAAAATAATCCCTATAGCATAACCTGCTCCAAATAATGTCCAAACAAATATTGAGCTTAATATAAAAATATAAAGATATATTTATATTAATATTTATAATGATATATAATCTTTTTACAAAAGAAAAATTTTCTTTACCTCTTATCATCATCAATTAATTTTGAAACCAACAAATTAATAATTTCTTGTGTAAATCTTTCATCCATCAGTACCAAGGTTGTTAAGTATCCTAAAGAAATCATAACACTAAATTGTACTTCATCACTTGTAATCAAGCTTATATCTTGATTTTCATGTTTTTCAACAGTGTCTTGAAATGATCCATCAACAAAATAATTCTCTCTTAAACATCTTAAAATATTTGCAGCATATTGCTCTTTTGATACATTATTAAGTGATCTCAAAGCTAAGCATAGACCTAAAAAATAGTAATTGTAATAGCAACAAATATTATTATTATTATTATTAAATAAATAAATATTTTTTCTATATTTATATTTAAATACCGGTAATTGCAAATATAACATTTTGAAATATGGTGGGAACACTAGTTTCAGATAATAACTTAATCAAATCATCTTTTAAAATATTTATTATTTCTTCTTCATTATTAAAATTAAAATTATTTTGACTGTTAATTGTTATTGAAAAAATTTCTTGTAAGCCATTTTCAAAAAATTTGGTCCATTCAGCAATCACACCAATTCTAATCATCCAATGATCTGTTAAATTAACATCTTGAATTACATTCATCAACAATTTATAAAATTTAGTTGATTTTATAAATTCTATTTTATTTACAAGGTCATCTTTTTTTTGTTGCTCTTCTTTATCAAGTATCATTGTTGAGGATGATAATGGTGATGATGATTCGAAAAAATTTAATGTTGCTAATGAATAGCCAACTCTTAATCCTGGCACAACCTTTCCACTTTCCCATGATTCAATAATTTTTGAACTGATTGAAAACAAACTACCTTTAACTTTTTGTAATTTCTTTTCATCTTCATCTTCATCTTTTCTGTCTTCCGCTCCTCCTACCCCTTTGCCAGTAAATTTGGTTCTACCTTTGAATAATGTACGACTCATATTTTCAATTTCATAAGAAATCAAATTACTCAGCACAAATTTCCATTCATCAATCTGACTTAAATATTTAGAATGACTTATTTGATTAACAATAATCTTTGGTTGCTTGGAAAAAATTGTTGAAAGGATACAAGTTGCAGGAAAAAATGATAATGCTTTTAATGCACATTTTAAAATCTCTTGATTGTTTTGAAACTCAAAAGGTTTTGTTTTCTCTTGTTCATCATCAACATTGTCATTTTCTTTATCTTTTAAGCTATTTGGGGCCTCTCCAGTAGAAATTAATGGATACATGTGTTTTGATAAAACCTCATTCTTAAGTTCTTCATATTCTTCACAATCTAAATAAAACAAAAATATTGTTATTGTTATCATTATTATTAAATAATGTAATTTATATATAAAAGAAAGTTACCATCATCATGTTTCGCTACCAATTGATAAAAATTACATAACATACTAATTACTTGTAAATTTGAAATTTTATTTATTTTCACAATTTCTGCAATATAAACAATGAATTTATTCCAAACTATTATAATGAAAAAATTGAAATAATTAATATATTTATTGTTAGTAAATCAAAACCAATCATAATCATAATAGTCATAGTCATGATAATAAACCTTCATAAATATCTGCAGCATTGGCCTCAATACATGTATTTAAAGTGTCAATTACTAAACATAAACTAATTGGATGTAATATTGTTGATTGAAGTAAACTTGATATTAAAGGAATTAATTCTTCAGAATAATTTACTGCATCTACCTTACAAATATCTCTATTAATAATAATAAATAAATTTTATAAATATATATAAATACACATATGTATATGTATATATATATATATATATAACAAACCTGATAGTACTCAGTATTGATATTTCTAGTTCAAAATCTTCCCTTTTAATATCAATTGAAGTCTTAAGTAGTCTATCTTCTACCCAATTACTTATCACAGATATTAAAGCTTCCCAACATCTTTTTTGTCTTTTCCAGCATTTAAATAAAACCCTTATACCAATTGTTGATAATTTATAATAATACATACCATCATTATTATTTAAATTTAACTCTTCCTCTTGCATAATATTAGTGATAACTTTAAAAATTTTAGTTGTGATAATTGGATCGTTTCTTGTGATTAATGATGGTAAAGAATCATACAAGATATGAAGATGAATAGATGATGAAATATCATTCCTTAGAATGTATAATAATAACAAAAATATTGGCAATTTTAATGATTTTGCCATTTGCATATCTTCAGTTATTACTGATGTAAGATAATCCAAAGCTTCAATTTTACTTGTGTCGTTTTCATGAAATAAATATGGAATGTGAAACAATAAATTAATCTGTGTGTTATTAGACTTTTGAATTTTTTTATTTTGAAAAGTTGATGATGATAAATTATATATTTCTGATGATAACTTTGCAAGATTTCCTGTTATATTTGACGAATTGGAAATCTATTATTATTATGATTGGTATTGTTATTGTTATTGTTATTATGTCATTGTTATCATTTTATATTAAATATTGCGATAATTACCTCTTTAGATAAAAAATTTTGATTAATTTTTAAATTTTGAAATTTTTGTAATCTGAAAAGAATTCCCATTGCTAAATTTCTGATTTCTCCTTTTTCTAAATCTGCAATGACTTGAAATAATGGTAATATTGCTATATTAATAATATTACTATTAATGCTAATATTACCATCACTGTTATCACTGTCACTATTGCTGATATTTAATAATTTCAAGTTTTCTTCAATTAACTTATCCATAATTTTTAATATCAAATTTTGATCATCAAATGATTGAGTGATCAATAATAAATAAGATAAAGATGCCCATACAAGATTGAAGTTTGATGTTGGAATAATATTATGGATTTTTCCATCATCTAATATTAATAGTTGATAAATTAGAGGAATATAATTGTTTGTTGTTGTTATTGATAGATTATCATCGTTGTTGATTAAATCACAAGCGATATTAAACATTTGATTAAGCAAATTTGATGAACATTCATTAAGAATAGAATTGGTTTTATTATTGATATTTATTATTTGCACAAGTGATTGTATGATAATATAAGTATTCACATTATCATCAATAAATGATAAACCTTGTGTTATTGAAAGTAAATAATTCATCAAAGTCTTGATAAATATCTCATAAATTCCATATTTATACATTAATCGAATCAGCAGTTGTATAATAGTTAAAGACCGGTAGTTTTTATTATGTTGTTGTAAGCCATTTAATATAACAAAATCTAGGAAAGGTTTCATCATTTCAAGACAGTTTACTAAATAATGTAATGATCTCTTTTCTTTCGTGATATGTTGTGATGCTGAAAGCTTTACTCTTGACAAATCAAAAATCCTTTCTAAATGTGAAATCAATATTAACCATGTTTCTTCTAGTTTAATAATATCAGAATTAGCAACAATAATAAAAGGGTGATCTATTTCCCCTTCATAATTTCTTGCCCTACTATTGAACGGTGATTCATATCCTACTGAATCAATATTTCCGTCTAAATGATTAATTAGAAGATCCGTTATTCCTGTAATTATAACGTTATGAAATTTTGAGTCGCCTGAAGATGTTGATAACAAATCTGTCAAATGATTCAAAGTTTCTTCCCATTTTATAGCACCTATAGTTACAAGAGAGATTAGTTTATTGACTGCATGCAAAGAAACTACCCCAGTATGTTCTGGTGTTATAAATGACCACAGTTGTTCCAGAAAAGAAGGTTCAATTCCACCATTAATGCGCAATTTAGCTTTTCCTGGATTTTTTGCAATAGAATTTGCAATCTTTTGAATTGATTGCGTTTGAACAGAGCGATGTTTTAGTATATCCATATATATATTATATAAAATAAAATTTAAAATTGATCAATGAATTTTTAACCAATTAAATTAATTAAATTAAAAAAGGAAAATTAAATCTCCCATAATACATAAATTTACTTTTCAAAGTTGGTATATAATCCAAATTTCTCATATACTAGTGTTGGTCTGAGTGGCTTCAGACTGTAACTCTGCTTCTGGAGGACAGAGAAGTGGAATACTACATACGTGGACCAACAGTTCTTAATGCTGCACGTTGAAAGCAGTGTCTCATTTGAACTTGGTGTGAACATTCTGGTTTGAATGTAAATTTGGGCCAGTAGGTTCTTAAATAGCAAGGATAAAGCCCGAGGCTGGAAACAGAGCAGGGAAAACTTGCAGCACTAAGTGGCAATGAGGTAGCACGCTTGAGTGATGAGTCATTAGGAATTGCCAAGTATGTAGTTAGACTGCTATCTCGAAATTTTTTTTTAATTGATTTTTATTTATTGGAAATTATTTACAATACAATTTTTAAAAAAAACAAACTTCAATCCAATAATCTATTGGCCACATATGCATTCTCCTTGACACATTTTCAATTAGTTAATTTGTGATAAATTGAGGAATTTTATAGACTATTCCTCTTTGCATTATTGATCGGGAATAATTGTTATATTGATAAAAAATAAATAACTATTAAAAACATTTATTTACCATGGAAAGCGAAATTTTACCAACAGATAGACTTTTAGACGTAACAATTTATTGAACATGAGACACATCCTATGATATTAATATAGCCATGATATATCTTGTAACATTATAGTAAATCGAGACACAAGTGGTTATGCTAGAAATATGCAATTGAAAATTTCATAAACATAGTCCTTCTCAAAAACACCATCTGATAACATCTTTTAATATTTTGCTTTACCATCTACGTTGTAATAATTGTTCCAAATAAGATAAATAAAAATCAAAATTTAAAAGCAAATACAATCAAAACTCTTACTTGTCCATACTCAAGCTATTGGAATTGTATGTTGAAAGCGCTGCAAGTGCCATCTGACTTACCAGAGATATCATACAAACGATCTTTCATTATGATAAAACCAGTGTTGATAAAAGTTTGTAAAAAATAATAATCTCATGTTCCTTCAAAAAAAGAAAAAAGGTTGGGATTTTTTTTTCATCATATTATGAGATTATTTAAGCCGCTTACTACTAACTATTCAATCAAGAAAACATTACGTTCCCACAAAGGAAGGGTTGTTGCATCCCACAAAAAAAAAGATAGAGAGGTGAAGAAGGTATGTTTTTGCTCTTGAAGTTCTTGGAGCTACCGTTTCTTTTTGTCAATGATGTCAATGAAAACTACAAATTCTCGGAAAAATAAAATTTGATATCACATACCCTTGTCCACGTCCTTTTTTCTTTTGTTATGAAAAAAATTAGGCATAATAAACAGACAAAAAAATTAGTCTAATAATACTAATAATAATAACAATATGTGTATTTTTTTTCTTGTGTATCAAAAATTAATAATAATTTAATCAAAACAATTTTCACCTCTACTACATACATATACAATACTCATATTAACCTTTTTATTTTTAAAAAGTAATCTTATATCTCACCACCTTAACATATTCGCCATGACTCGAACAAAGAAAAACAATAGCATCCAAGAACAATCAGGCGTCTCTTCTTCGTCTAGCGCAAGTCCTAGTAACGTTGATAAGTATGCAAGGTATTTTGAAAATTGAGGATTCATCGATTGATTTGTCGAATCGTGTCCATTTTTCTTTATGATTTCTCTTATACTCATGCCAAGCAAGGGTTTCTTAAAACTATTTATTTTCTCATTTGATTCATTATATAATAATTATATTCCAAATATTTATCTTTAAACGTTAATTCATATTTTTAATTGATTATAAATAGATTCAATACACCTTGGTTTAGCGAGGCTATGAGTAGAGAACACAATAAACATTGCACCAATGCTCTGAAAGCATTAAAACGTCATTCATATTCAATTCCTTTTTTAGAACCTGTGGATCCTATCAAACTTAATATTCCTGATTATCCCAACATTATAAAAACACCAATGGACCTTGGTACTGCAGAAAAAAAACTTAATAATTATGAATACAAGTCTGTCAAAAACTTTGAAGATGATGTTCGCCTTATTTTTTCAAATTGTGTGTTGTATAATGGCGAACATCACCCGGTCTCTCAATATGCTAAAGAATTAGAGGAAGTATTTATCGCACAACTTGCCAAAATGCCTGGAGCTAAACCTATTAATAAACCTAAACCAGCTAAAGAACCTAAAGAACCTAAAAAGGAGGTAACTGATCATTCGCTCATATTACATATTATATGTCTGTTAATATATCTATTAATTTATATTTATGTATTTATATTTATACTAATATAACTTTTCTTGATAATAATAAATAATAAATAATAAATAATAAATAATAAATAATAATAATGATGATAATGATGATAATGATAATTAGAAACCTGCATTTAAAATTGTTGCAGAATCATCTACAAAACCAACCACTAAATCAAACAATAAAACTTTTATAGAAACTACTACTTCTACTATTGCCACTCCATCAACAGTCGCTGCTTCATATAGTGCTGCCACTTCCACTGTTAAGTCTGACAATGCTGAAGCAAATAGGCCAAAAAGAATGATCAAATTTCCCAACAAAGAAATTCCTCAGGACACACAAACTCCTCGTCGCAAAAAAACAAAGAAAAATGTTGAACTTAAATTCTGTCGCTCAGTATATCTGGAGTTAAAAAAGAAACAACACTATCCATACGCTTATCCTTTCTACGAACGAGTCGACGCAGAAAAACTAGGCGTTCCTGAATACTATACCATCATAAAAAATCCAATGGACCTATCTAAAATCAATAGCAAGCTGGAAAATGAAGAATATAGATCAGCTGAAGAGTTTGAGGCTGACATACGTTTAATGTTTGACAACTGTTACAAATTCAATGCTCCTGGTACTGATGTCTATATTATGGGCAAACAACTTGAAAGCGTTTTTAATAAAAAATGGGCAGAAAAGCCAGTTTCACAGTCTCCTCCAACCGCTATTCCCAAAGACATTAAGGAAGAACAAGAATCAGGTTCAGACAATGAAAGTATGTATATCATTTTTCTTTCTCTTTTATATTAAATAGTACAAATAAATAAACAAATATAATTTTCTATTGAGGAGGTAAACATATAAAAGCTTTACAGAAGCATCTTAATGCTTTATCGTCTTTATCATCTCAACTTTCTAATGTTGGAAAATCAGAAAAATCCAAAGCTAAAAAATCAACCAAAAAATCAACCAAAAAATCAAAATCAAAGTCTGACGCTGATTCATCACCTGACACCATGCCAAAGCCTAAACGTGCTCGTATTTCAAAAACCAGTGATGATTTTGTTAAAGAGGACGATGACAAAGAACTTACTGCTGAACAAAAGGATATCCTTGCTAAAAGAATTGAAAATTTTCCTGAAGAGCTTATGATTACACTTATTGGAATGATAGAGCAAAGTGGTGCACCTATGGTGGCCGAGGAAGGTGGCTACGAATTGGAAATTGAATCTATCGACAAAAAAACTGCTAAACAAATTTATAATTTTGTTATGGCAAATACTTCTGATCCAAATAATCGTAAGCAAAAAAGTAAAACCACCACTAAAAGAAAAAATTTGAGTGAACAAGAACAAATAAAATCTCTGGAAGCGACTTTGGCTAAATTTGAAGATGATAATAAATCCTCATCTTATAAAAGTATGTATATTAAATCGAATCAAGTTTTTATTAAAATATATATATTTATATATGTGTGTGTAATTAAATAATTCGGGTTGAACAGAGGGACAATATAGTTCTGATGATGATGATTCTACTGACAGTCAAAGCTCAGCATCTTCCGGATCCGAATCTTCAGGTAGTGGTACTGTTTAGTTTAATGGTTTTTTTTTTGATTTTATATGCGCCCCCAAAATTATTATTCAAAAATATAATTAATTCAAGATTTTAGCATTATATTTTATTGTATATCTTCTTTTCTTATTTTTCCACACTTTTTTTTTATTGAGAGAAAATCGTTAGTTGTATGAGAGAAAAAAAAATTTTCATTTAATTTTTTTTTTGTTCAAGGTTATTTAAATAACTGTAGTCAATCTTTTTTTGTTGAATACCATTTTTTGAATAAATACATAGCTTTGGGGGTTTGCTAACGAAATTATTCAATTTTTTTATATTATGTCCTATCCGTGATTATCATGCTCACAAAACATTATTCTTTTTTTAACACCAAACTTTATATATATAATATATTAAAATATCAACAAACAAATTTGTCTCGTCGTATCGAAACTTTTTTGGGGAACTATATAATTTCCTTATTTGTTCATTATTAACCAAACAGGAGACCAAAAGGTATATATAAGGAAAAAACATGCTCTTAATTGAAACAATTGATTGAATCTTTACTAAAAAATCATTTAACCATAATTCACACATACAATATATATATATATATATATATATATATATATATACATGTGCATATTATCTCATTTAGGAACCATTACAAAAAAACGACAATTTCAATGCCGATTCAGATACTGAATATATCCCTTCAAAAAACGTTGCACCAACATCAACTCAAAAAGCATCAACAAGAAGCAAAATAGTAGAATCATCTTCAGAATATTTGAAATCCAATTCACAGACTTTATTAACAAATAAAATTGACACGCCTAAACAAACTGTGGCAACTCAATCCAGAAAAAGAAAAGAAGTAGCACCGATTAAAAGTAACGATGCAAGTAAAAAATTAAGCAACAACACCCAGCCAGTAGCTACCACAAGGAAGATAAGGAAGCCCAAGAATCTAACCAGGGGACTTACACCGTCAATGATTTCTATAATGTATGCACCTATACCAAACCACTCAAATCCACCAGGTTTTGATAGACCATATGTAAAACCTCCAAGCCCATCACCACCAAGAGAATCCAACGAACCATACATGTACAGCAAAGATTTAGTTCATGAGTTAAGACCAACAATTGCAGTTGATGATTTTTTTTTGGAAATTCCTGATTCAGGCATGACCACTTTCACTCTGCCATTACAAGGTTATATACTCAGAAGAATACCAGAAAAAAAATCAATTATTATCAATGATGGTGGTGACAAATATGGGTTAACATTAGATGGGGATGGCATATTTTATGAGCTCAGAGATACAAAAGAAACAATCAATTGCACCGTTGGTTCCTGGGTCACTATATCGATCCCTTTTATTGAAACCCCAGATAGACCACCTGTTAGATCAATTGCATGTCCATTAGCGTATGGTCATGAAAAACCACCAGTCATTGTCGGTTTAATCTTGGCTAGAAACGATCGTGAGATTACAGTATTTGGACCCAAGGGAGAACCAATCACGGTTCCCGAGCCTTACAGAACTTACAAAAGGCCAATTGGAGGACTTTCATTTAAAGATGAAATTCCAGAATTGGCCCAAGCAGATACTAGCAAGGAAGGCGACACAGTTGAACCAAGATTAATCGTACCATCAACTAGTGGAAGAGATAGAACAGCCGGTGTAGTTTTAGCTTGGCATAACAACTGGGTCTTGGTAGCACGTTCTGATGAACGTGTAGTAATCAAAAGAATATCAGACAGATTGTATAAGAAGGTGCTTGAAGCAGCCTTTAAATATTTAAGCCTTGATGAACTTCCTGAAGCGCATGAAGTTACTCTTTATGAATATGAAGATTATAGAGTAGCACTTGCTAAATACATACACTACATACGAGAGAAGTATTCTATAGTTCATAATCCAAAACGAAGTGCTTTTAAAGAACACGAACCAATTGGTAGAGTTGTTAATGGACTACAAGCATTTTGGTCTTTAAAAGGAATATATCATTTGAGTGTGAATTGTGAAGAAGCCATCAAAAGATCTGGTGTAGAGTACAGACAATATTTGAAAGATTCGCGTAAAAGGAAATTAGAATTGGCACATGAACAGTATTCTGAAGAGGCACAACGTAAT